TAATTATCTTGTTTGATTTCCAAATTAACTTGATTTTTTTCCCCTTCTTTATAGCTTTTTATGTGCACATAGATTTAAGAGTTGGATGTAAGAACGCGCTTTTTAAGAAAAACATAAATAAAAAGAGAGAATCTATTAAAAAAAATTATACAAGGGCAAAAATCATAAAAATGCAAAAGTAGAATGACAAAACTTGCCATTTACCCAAATATAAAGTTAAGGGTTCAGATCTTGTTATTTTTAATCCGATGGTCGTGAAACCGGTTCGCATGAGCAGAGGAGCTCTTCTTAGGTGGACATTTAAGGGCAGAGGACGCATGGGAGAAGATTTACGGGCTTACAATGCGTCAAGTGTCTCTTGCATGCTCTGGCTCTTACAGGGGTGAGAATTATTTGGTTAAAATTAAAAAATTAAATTGAATTAGTAATTTTGATTTGGTTTTTTTTTTTTTTTAAAAATTCGGTTTTCATCAAAAACCGAATTATTATTATTATTATTTTAAACACATACTCAAGCTCTTTAAAAAAAATAAATAAATAAAAGAGGCACTTACCGGCTTAACTAAAAGAACAATAGCTTTAATGACTTTTTTCTACTTAAAATAAAAATATTTTTCATTAATTTTTTATTAAAATAATTGATTATATTATATTGACTCACAAACAAATAAAAAAAAAGACTATGGTAAAATAATTCTTTATAAATACACAAATTTATGTGTGAGTGAATCCTAAAACCTCAAAGAAAAAAATTGTCTCCTTGTATTAAAATTGACACAAAAATATCCTCTAAAAAGGTTAACCCGATGCTGCTACACTTATAATAGTACTATAGTAGTATTAATAACATCTAACAATAATAATTTTTTCACTCTTTTTATGCTTATACTAAACATAAATTAAAAATTAGATTTTTTGATTATTTATTCAATAATAAAATATGCACCAAGTAAGTAGATTAAAAAGAATATGAAAAATTATCAAAAAAACCAATTGTAGCATGATCGAAAAATTAATGAGAAGCCCAACCAATCTAGTTTATAATATAAATAGAAACAAATTTAGTATAGAAAAATAATAATAATCTTACATAATTTTTTTATAAAATCAAACGTGAAATATGCAATATTTGATTATGCAAGTTTGATATTTTTTAAAAGCAAAATAATTTAGTTTTTAGAAGGAAAATGCAAAAAAATAAAAGATCTCGTTTTTAATCGAAAATCGAATCGAAAAATTTGGTTTTTTAATCGAAAAACCGAACCTCAATTTGATTTGATTTTTTTTTTTTTACCAATTTGATTAACCAAAAATCGAAAAAAAAAAAAAAAAACCGAAATCGAATGATCATCCAAGAGAGATCAAGAATTCTCACTATTTTTTGGATTCATGCACCCAATTCAATTCAGTGGGATCTTTGATTCACATTTTCAGCTCTGCCATGTTTGTCTGGGCTTGGGCTTTAAATTATATACTCCAAATCTCCAACTCATTTAAGTAGTCAATGGTAAGCCTTTCTTGATTCTTTCGCGATGCCCATTTCTGGTCCAATTCTATGGATTTCATTTTACATTTGCTGTGAATTTTTTTCTTTTTCATAGAATTTTCAATTTTTTTTTTCAAAAAGGAAAGTGGCCATTCTTGTTCTTCAAAAAAAAAAAAAAAAAAAACAAACTTTCTAGTCTATCATTCTAAGTCAATATCTTAATTTTATTTTATCTTTTAATTTCTTATCATCAAATGGTTTGAAGTAACAATTGATTTTATTCGTTCAACTTAGGCTTTTATTTTCCTTGATAATTGACTTTAATAACCAGAAATAACAAGCATCACCTTTTAACTAATCCAACAGGATTTGACAAAGGAACTTAAAAGAGGCTCTGTTTATATGTGTGTGTATGTATATATATATATATATATTAAAAGGAATTTAGTCATGAGTGATGATTTGTCCTCAATGCCAAACTTGTTCTGAGATAGCAAAGTAAGGCGATAATATAGCCTTAATCCAGCAACTAAGTGAAGGAAAAAGATGGATTAATTTCTAAATAAAATCATAAAGACGCGAATTGTATATGTATAGAAACCTAAATAATCATATCCTAACTTTAAATATAAACACAATATTGCAACTATGCGTAACTCATGTAGTGTAGAAATCTCTAAAATATTCTTTAAATTCAGCACCATTAGATGACGAATGAGCCTCTTTGCTTAGAAATGGAAAAAATAATTAGTGAGAGAAACTACTTGATGCCATCACACTATATTATCCCTTAAGAAATGCCAGAGTCAATGGAATTGCAGGTGAAGAGGAGAAGTTGAAGGAGCCTAAAGCCTTGTCAGCAACCCAAGTTTGAAAAGATGAAATCGAGAGAACTTGGTCCCAAACATGTCCTCGTTCAATATGACGCTGACGTTTGCAACTAAGTCACGCGCATGTGGAGCCCACCCACTACAGATGGAATGGAAAAAAGTTAAAAAAGTTATTCTAGTTAGCGTTGACCAAAATCAGAACCGTAAAATTTATAAGTAGCAGCATCGTATCGTGTTTCTGTCTGAGCCAAACGTTTTGACTTTTCCCACGCACGGGTTCCGGTGGCAGTTCCGTAAATGATTAGGGTCCCTAATGTCTACCATGAAACATAAGCCAAAAGCAAAACAAACTTCCTGAATGAATTACTATCATCTGTTTTTTGACTAGAAAATTCTACATTTTATCGTTTAAGATCAGATTTTTTATTTCTTTTTTCCTTTTTGTTTTGTATATTATATAGTATATGCTTTGATTGACTAAGAAGCCAATATCTTAGTTTGTCTTGGCAACCAAACAGAGAGTAACAAAAAAGACCTTTTCTTTTAAATTTCTTTGCCTATTTTTTTTCCCACCTTCGTTTTAGGAAAAAAATCGTAAATACTGAATACAACCTGAGCTGGACATGTCGTTGTAAGAAAATTCATTGAACCTGGTCGGGATTTGGTTTCTTGTTATTTAGGATACAGATATAGATTTTCATTTAATTTAATGAATGATTACGGATTCCTGTAAAGATAAAGACCATCAGGTTTGGTGCACATAATGGGAAGGTGCTTCTGTTTTTAGGTTTTCATTAATTTAAAAATTTTACTTCTTCTTTTTTGCCTCTTGTATAACATTCATTATATTGGTCTTTTGTTTCTTTCTTTTTCTCTTTTTTTGTTCCCTTGCAGAAATTGCTTGAGGAGGAGGGTTCATTTTTTTGAGAAGGGAAAGTCTTTTTGAGTGTGAGAGATAAATCTTATTGCTCCACTATCAACGGTTCTCATTACAAAGCACATGAATGCGGAGGTTAGATACAATGACTTTTTCTTGAACCCCTCCTTTATTCTCTTCTGAAAAGACATGCAATTTGGAAGATACACGTCTGTTTAAAATCATAGAAAAGAAAAAGGGACCTTTTGAATTCTGGGTTTTGGTTCTTATCATCCTATATGGGTATTGTTTTGTGCCTACACACTGACAGAAAACAGTAAAAGATTGAAAGTTTTAGATTCTTATCCTGCTTGCTTGCTTTTACAATATTATTCAACAATGTAGGTTGAGTATAGGGATATAGAATGATTTGAATGTTGGTTTGTGATCAATTAACTAATTAAATCAATGTTTATGACATGCTTTGGTTGATACAGTCAAGTTGGCTTTTAGGGTTTTCAGAAAGCCACAAAATTGATTATTGAAACCGAATGATCATGTATAATTTTTTATGTCAAGGACAAGGTTTCCTGTCTGAATAGGATTTTTTTTTTTTTTTTTGAGCTTTAGTTTTTAACCCTAAATGCTTGGATGCTGTCGTTGAATGCCATTTTTTCAATAAAATAATCATATCTACACGAATTGCTACAGATAATTTTGTTCACTAACGTTTGGATATGAATATCACTTTTCTTTGTGGACATTACTCTCTTACGGCAACGGAGTTGATGCCAATGCCTTTTTCTTGTTTCTTTTGGTTGTCCTATATGGTCTACAAGAATCATGAAATTAATAACTTACTAAGAAAAGAAAGTTAAAAGAAAAAATTAAAAATGTTCCTTTTCTAACGACTGGTTGTAGTTGAAGATGAGTTGCGTTTTTAGCCCTTTTCCGTTTTGTGAAACAAAACTTTTAAGCAACAAGACATTAAAGCTCTTTTCACCTTACATCAGTTCATGAACTTTTGATGGTCTAAGAAGAACTCAGAAAAAATGCAAGGAAAGCAAAAGGGTTCTATATGCTGTCAATTTCTAAGCTGCTGCCATCTATGCTCCTTAGTCAACACCTTCTGAAGTTGCATTTTTTTCCTTCACAAACACCACAATTATGGAGGCGACGAACCACTGCTTACATATGTCACAAGTGTTGAAAATCCATGTCTAGGTCGGTCTTAATAAAAAAATGGTGTCAACTTTGCTGTGTATCATGTATATGACATGTAAGAGATCCAGATTCATACCTTGTTGGCAATCATAATTCCCTCTCCTTCTCTCTCTTAACTAGAAACGTTTGACCAGTGATCCTTTTTGAAACTTATATAAGCAGGGGCTTCTATACTTTCATTCATGTTCAACAAGGCTTAGCATTTCCCTGCACTAGTTGTCGTAGCCTTCTCTCCTTACCGGCTTCCTTTGTCGTGGTTAGCTTCAATTTCTTGACTAGTTACTGATTAAAGTTCAACTTTGTTAGTTTGTCATCCTCTTCCCACTTTATTATTAGTTTATGCTTAGGTTTTCATTGGGGAGACTATACCAAAAAGACATGATGTTCTGTTCTTAAATTTCAGAGTTTGTACTTATATAAGTTTATCGTATATGTGAATAGAACACAGCAACCGAAAAATAGAAAAGCAACATTTACCTTGGTTTGATTCAGTAGTTCAAGCATTTGCTTAATATTCTTCATGCACAGTTAAGGTCAGCATTGCCTTCTTTCTGATAATGATTATCTTGTAAACAGTCCTGCATTACAGGCAAATTAATTGTCTATGTCTTCAGCGGTTCATTCAACTAAAGAGTACCTTGAAAAAAACGATATGGATATTAGAAGCCTGTCATCCTCTCACCGTCATCCTCAAGATGCACCTTATGTTCACAAGGTTGGACTTCCTCCTAAGCAAAACCTCTTCAAGGAGTTCAAAGAAACTGTGAAAGAGACATTCTTTGCAGATGATCCTCTACGCTCCTTTAAGGACCAACCAAGGTCTAAAATGTTCGTTCTAGGTCTCCAAGCTATCTTCCCTATTTTTGAATGGGGAAGAAGTTACAATTTTGCAAAATTTAGAGGTGATCTCATCGCTGGGCTGACCATTGCTAGTCTTTGCATTCCACAGGTAGATTATCTGCTTAAAAGATACATAGGAAACACCAACATTATGCATTCGCTACTTTGCACTATTTCTAATAGGTTACATTTTTGGAAAATATCAGGATATTGGGTATGCAAAGCTTGCAAATTTGGATCCCCAGTATGGATTGTGTAAGTTTCCCTTATTTATGCAATTCTTGCATTGCCTTTGCCTCTTTCTTGAGTCTGATGGTGTGATTTCTGTTGTTGTTGTTTGAAATACTTGTCAGACTCCAGCTTTGTTCCACCTTTGATATACGCCTTCATGGGTAGCTCAAGAGACATAGCAATAGGACCAGTGGCTGTGGTGTCTCTCTTGTTGGGGACTCTGCTTCAGAATGAAATTGGTGATCCTGTAGGTAATGCAGCAGAATATCGGAGGCTGGCATTTACAGCTACATTTTTTGCTGGAATCACCCAAGTAACCCTTGGGGTTTTCAGGTAAATGTCAAAAGAAAATAAAACTTTCAGCGTTTCTTTTCTGTAGGTTTTCATATTGATCTTGGCATATTTCAGTTTTTTTAGTGCTCTCTATCTATCACTTCTATCTGTTAACATGATACTGGTTTGGGCCAATTTATCAGGTTGGGATTCTTAATTGACTTTCTATCACATGCTGCTATTGTTGGTTTCATGGGTGGAGCTGCGATCACAATTGCCCTCCAACAGCTTAAAGGTTTTCTTGGAATAAAAAAATTTACAAAGAATACTGATATTATTTCTGTAATGCACTCAGTATTTGCTGCAGCTCATCATGGAGTAAGTTCGCTCTCCCTTCGCTCTCTTTGACTTATATTTTTGGCTTATTCTTACCTTTAAAATGTGAAATACTATCTACAAAATTGAGAATCCCTAGCGAAATAATTTCTCATATCTGCGGTCATTGATTTGTGTACAATTGCAGTGGAACTGGCAAACTATTGCTATTGGTGTGAGCTTTTTATCCTTCCTGCTTTTTGCCAAGTACATTGTAAGTCTGATCAAAGTCTAATTATATATGTAACAGTTACCTTCTTGCAAAGTTTTTCTAATTCTCACCGTTATTTGAGCAATAGGGAAAGAAGAACAAGAAATTATTCTGGGTGCCAGCAATTGGTCCTTTGATATCTGTGATCCTGTCAACATTTTTTGTGTATATAACCCGTGCTGATAAAGACGGAGTTCAAATTGTAAGAACTTCTCATTCTTTTCTTAAATATAATGTGATTAATTCTACTATTAAAAATAACAATTTTAATTATTATTGGGACATCAGAAGTAGTGATAGCTGCAATAGCTGTATAATTGATATTAACTGGTCTGATTTCTGAAGGTGAAACACATAGACAAAGGAATAAATCCCTCCTCTGTGAATCAAATATATTTCAGTGGTGACTATTTGCTAAAAGGTGTTAGGATTGGTATTGTGGCTGGGATGATTGCTTTGACGGTGAGATAACTTTGCAAGCCATTGCCTACCTGTCCATTATCAAGAGAATTTGGTAAAATCAATCAACTAACATAGTTTTTATTCATTTTATCTTGGGACGGGATTTTCAGGAAGCCGTAGCAATTGGAAGAACATTTGCTTCCATGAAGGACTATCAGCTTGATGGAAACAAAGAAATGGTCGCACTAGGAGCTATGAATGTTGTTGGTTCAATGACTTCTTGCTATGTGGCAACAGGTGAGAAGGATGCACATATAAACATTTAATAGTGCTAACAAAGTGTTTTATCTGTTGTGGATGCTTAATCATATATGATCAAAAATCAACTATTGGAATTTCATTATTCTGAGCAGCCATAAAATCCATTCACTTAACGAAAAAGTAAACATGAAACTTTCCAATCATACAGCTACTTACAATCTTTGCAGCCTAAAATAAATGCATATAATGGTGCCCAAGTAAACATTTCACTACTCTATGGTTTTGATCTTCCTTTTGGGTTGACTCTGGTGTGGAAACTCCTTAGGTCTTAGGGCCAACATGAGGAGGTTCAAGCGATTGTGAAAATCGTTAATAGTCATTTGATTTTTTTCTTATGATCATTACTTGCAGGTTCATTCTCTCGATCAGCTGTGAATTACATGGCTGGCTGCCAAACTGCAGTCTCCAACATTGTTATGTCGATTGTTGTATTTTTGACCTTACAATTCATCACACCTCTTTTCAAGTACACCCCAAATGCCATTCTCGCAGCCATCATTATATCAGCTGTGATCGGCCTAATTGATTTTGATGCCGCATATTTGATATTTAAGATTGATAAATTTGATTTTATTGCGTGCATGGGAGCATTCTTTGGTGTTGTTTTTGCTTCCGTCGAGATTGGCCTCTTGATTGCGGTAAGAATCATGCCCATTGGCTAAATTCCTGGATATTAGAACATGTGATCGCCAGTATTAATTGAATTATGTTTTCATTGTGTCATTAAAGGTCTCGATATCCTTTGCCAAAATTCTCTTACAAGTTACAAGGCCCCGAACTGCAATTCTCGGAAATCTACCAAGGACAACTGTATACAGAAACATTCTACAATATCCTGAAGCAACTAAGGTTCCTGGTGTTTTGATTGTGAGAGTTGATTCTGCAATTTACTTTTCTAACTCCAATTACGTTAAAGAAAGGTAAAGACATTGTTTTTTCGCCTTTCAGCTAAATTCATGTGATATTCTGTATTGTTTTGGTGGAGAGAAGAGAACGAATCTACAACTTAAAATCAAACTATAGGCAGTTCTTTTTTTCCTTATCTCACTCTTCTAATTACCTTTTGCTCTGAGGTTTTGGCGTTAATTAATGAAAGAACACAACTCTAGTATGTGCAAGACTTGTTTTGATAGGTAAGTTATATGAATAAAGCTGAACTATAGATGATAGGTAATTAGAAAGTCAACGTAACTTGTATGATTGTTAAAAAGGATATACAGATAACAAACTCAGAACTGTTTTGTAGAGCAATATTTATGTTGTTACTAAGTAATTATGATGAATAATTTCAGCAACGTTATAATCTGGTCAAGCTATTTTCTTGGCTTGCGGGAGGTTTTGAAGCTTAAGGTTGTGAAATCTTTGTGTTTGACGCCTTATGGTTGCAGTGTTCATAGGACCTATATGTAAAAGGAGCTTAAGAGATAACTATGATTTTATAATTAATTATTTAGAGCTTTGCAAAATGTTGAGATTTCCAGTAGCTTTGATGAAGCTAAAAATAGAATTTTCTTGCAGGATATTGAGATGGTTGATAGATGAGGAAGAAATAGTAAACGAATCAGGCAAACCAAAAATCCAGTTTTTGATAGTGGAGATGTCACGTAATTAAGCAGTTCTTTCTCTACTGGATCTTCATTGTTCTCTACAAGAAAACTTACTACCATTGCGTTTCAGAACTTATTTATGATCTGTTTGCATTTGGTGCAGCCGTTACCGACATTGACACCAGTGGTATCCATGCCATGGAAGAGTTATACAGGAGTCTCCAGAAAAGAGAGATTCAGGTAATCTTTTGTGCATTTTGAAATCTAACTTTACAACTTAATAGAAACTACATTACAGCATCATATATATATATATATATATATATATATATATATATCTCAATCAATTAGCACACAAACACATAAAAGTACGACAATAAATAGTTATGTGCTTTTATATTATTACCAAAATTGCCTTACCAGAAGCTCCCAATGTTGTTTCACAGCTTATCCTAGCAAACCCCGGAACAGTCGTGATCGATAAGCTCCATGCCTCCGATTTTGCCCAATTGATTGGAGAGGACAAAATCTTCCTTACGGTTGCTAATGCTGTGGCAGCATGTTCTCCAAAATTGGTGGAAGAAGCTTGAGAGAGAATTTAAAATGAAGTTTCTCTGTCTGACTGAGAAACGCGATTTCGCTGCCATAGTGTGTGGCATTGGAAGGGGAGGGTGCTAACTCTAATAGAGTGACAGTAGTGGCTAGTTGTGGGTCATTATAAAAGTGGCTTTTTTTTTTGTAGTGGGGTGTGAGTGGCTGCTGCCTTCTCCTCTCCCCCTATTTACCAAAACACAGGAAAAGGTGCCTTGTTAATAAGGGATAAGGGATAAAGGAAAAGGAGAAAAAAAAAAATGGGTGAGAGCATGATAAGGAGGATCTGGTCTTTTTTCTTCCTTTTAGTGTGTCTAAAATCCGAGTATAATTTGCATGTTATGTAACAATCCTTTTTCAGGGTTGTATTTTGAGGAATGGCGTTATTCAAGTTTGCATGGTGCATTATTTTTTCCCTCAGTTTTCAAGTATCTCTGCTCCATATTTTCCTTTTATTTTGTTCTTCAATTCCTTGTAATCCCATGTCCCAACCCTGCTTCTGACCATTACAAGCGGCAGAACTAAATTTATATAGACACGAGTCACCGTTAAAGCTTGTGAGTTATGACACGGTGATGCTCTAAAACATGAAAAAAGAAGGAATGCATCAACGTAAATAATTGCTGACCAAAAAGGTACGTCGTGCAGAGTTGGTGGATAAGAATCTAAACGAGATACGTATGAAGCCGTATAAAATTTTGTAGATTAGTGGGGTATGACATGGGCATTTAACCGCACCAAGAGAAGGTTTTTGGATGAGGTAAGCAACAAGCGGATATTTTTATATTCGTTTGTTTTGGAAGAAAATGGACGGGAACAACGCCAGGTTCATTCAGACTTATATATATATATATATATCAATATGAGGTGGCAAAGGATTCCAATATAATAACCATAACCATGATAGCGTGATGTATCTTTTATTATTATTATTATTATTATCATTTTCATAGCATATTATATAATTCTTAGGAGAGCATGGGTAGCAAGTGGAGTTGGTGGATGTGAAATATCTGAATCCAGACCTTTTTCCGAGCTTAATTAGGTTTACAATCATATATATATTTATATATGTATATGATAAGAGTGTGGTGTGTATGAGGACAGGGAGCCCATGATTGCATATCAAAGAAAGAATGAGAGTTTGGAAAGGTTATGGATAAGATTAGCATTATAATTAGAAATTGACGACGGATGTGAAAGTGAAACATAAACACGCACCTTTGACAGATGGGCCTTATCAATTGCCGAAATGGTATAAGATATTCCAATAGGCTGAGCCCAATTGAAATTAACCCAAGCCCATATAAAAAGTACAACCCTATTCCCAAAAAACTCTACTTCCCCTCCCTTATCACTCATCACTCATCACCTTACCTCACCAGTCCCAAAAAAAAAAAAAGGACACCATGGCTCTTCTCCCTGCAATTCGCACCATCACCACCCATTTTTTCAAACCTAAAACCCTAAACCCTTCCCTTTTACCACTCTTCGAAAAACCCACTATTAAGAATCTTTCCTCTCTCTCCAAACCCAAAACCCTCTCAAAGCCCCATGCCTCTCCCAATTCAGAACTTGTCAACAGTAAAGACCAGCGCTTTATGGGTCTGAAAGGTACTAGTGACAATTCTAGTTCTACTACTATTGCAGCCATTGTTACCTCCGTGGGTGGTCCACCTGCTGCCGTGGGGATTGTCAGGTTATCTGGTCCATCCGCTGTCGACATTGCTGCACGTGTGTTTAAACCAATGAGAAAAAAAAAGAAAAAGAAGACCCAATGTTTTTTTGTCTGGAAACCTACTAGTCATGTTGTGGATTACGGGGTGGTTTTGGATCATCAAGGGAATGTAGTTGATGAGGTATGACTGTTTTTCATTTTTTATATGTGCCTAGAATGTTGAAAAGGGATCATCATTAATGCTTTTGGAACTTAGTTGAGTCATCAACTTATTAATTAGGAACTGGGCAAATTAGAAGTTGCAATTTTTCGTATGGGATTTTTGTTTGTTTTGGTACCCCGTGACCTTTGTCCTTCTTCCTTATAAATTGAGTTTTATGTTGCCTCTTTACTTATTTCAGGTTTTAGTTGTACCTATGTTGGCTCCAAGATCTTATACTAGAGAAGACGTGGTTGAGCTTCAGTGTCATGGGAACGAAGTCTGTCTTCGTCGTGTGCTGAGAGCTTGTTTAGAAGCTGGAGCCAGGCTTGCGGAACCAGGTTGCCTTCTTCTTTTATCTTCCTCTTGTACATATGAATTTCGTCAAGACAAATCTATGGCTTTCTTCAACTCTTTATTTTTATTTATTTATTTATTTTTTTTTCAGGCGAGTTTACTCTACGTGCATTTTTAAATGGCCGCCTGGACCTTTCGCAAGCTGAAAATGTTGGAAAGCTAATATCATCCAAATCCGTGGCTGCTGCAGATGCAGCACTGGCTGGAATCCAGGTATGTTTTCTTTGAAGCTCTCGGTTTATCATCCCTTATTAAATTGAGTGTAAGGCTTTGTTGAAAGCATGGCTAGCAGGCTTGAAACTATTTTATTTGACAGGGAGGCTTTGCTTCTTTGGTAAAATCATTAAGAACGCTATGCATTGAGCTGCTTACTGAGATTGAAGCTCGTTTAGACTTTGATGATGAGATGGCACCACTAGATTTTAATTTAATTATGGATAAAATACATGCCATGTCAGAAAATGTGGAGAATGCACTCGAGACAGCCAATTATGACAAGCTTTTGCAATCTGGATTACAGGTACAATCAGCCTGACGACCTTCTTGCTTTTGTTTCCCTGCATTGCTCAAGTAATCATAAACTAGCAGATTACATGTATAATCTACAACTGGCAGCCTTATAACTTTATCATTGCTTTGTAATTTGCATAATGCTCAAAAAATTGCACAACCTGCTTTGTTCCTGGGTGCTACTTGCTAATTCAAGGTTACCTGCCCGCTTGACTTTTTATGTACAATTTAAGTTATTGAAGCTGCTACTGGTACAGTGAACTTCAAGATTTTAGATATTTGTAACTGGGCTTAACGCATGTTTCCTTATTTAAGTGGATTTGGCTCAGTTATGCTGAAATTTCATATGCGATGACTGAGTCAATAAATACAATAAAAGCTAATCTTTGGATAATATTTATGAGTTTGATTTGGTGACATTCTTCTTTTAAATATTGCAGATAGCAATTGTTGGCCGTCCTAATGTTGGGAAGTCCAGCCTCCTTAATGCATGGAGTAAAGTACGTTCCATAAATCACCTTTTATCTTTCTAGATTTGGCATCAATCCTCGCCTTAGAAATAAAAATAGAAGTTTGACTTCAAGGTGTCATTTGACATGTTGTCGCCTTAGCTCTCTGTTGTATTTTTCAGTTTCCTTTCTTAAGTATCAATAGAATCGACATCCTTTTGAGTTCCATGTTTTAATTTAGCGTGCAGAGTGAGCGGGCAATAGTTACAGAAATTGCTGGAACCACCCGTGACATTGTTGAAGCCAGTATTACAGTTGGTGGCATCCCTGTGATCCTTCTTGATACTGCTGGGATCAGGGTGACTGATGATGTCGTCGAGAAGATTGGTAAGCTTACCTGATTCTGGTGATGTCTTCCTACAATGCTGCAAACAGATTTGTGCATGTGCTATTAAAGGAATGGGTACCCGGGTTTCTGCTGTTTTTTTGCTTACAGGCGTAGAAAGATCTGAAGCAGCTGCCATGGGTGCTGATGTCATTGTTATGACAGTTAGTGCTCTTGATGGATGGACTCCAGAAGATACCGAACTTTTCAATAGGATTGTATCTAAGAAGGTCTTACAGGCAAACTCCTTTATCTCACTCATTTGCACACACACACGAACAAACTCTATTTTAAATGCTATTAAAATGAAGGTAGTATCCTCGTCTTGAGTTGTTGCTCCTCCATTTTCCACATTTTATATATTGAACTTGGTATTGAGTTATAACTTGTTCCTTTACTTTTGGAAATACAGAAAGCAGTTGGCTCTTTAACACCCATGATCCTTGTAGTTAACAAAATAGACTGCTCTCCATCCTTGTGTTCAGAATGGATTGATAGGGGTGGTGATTCTTTCAGTAAGCATGTATTCACCTGTGCTATTACTGGTCAAGGAATCCAAGATTTGGAGATGGCAATTTCAGAGATCGTGGGTCTGAGCAGAATTCCTGCAGGGGGACTCAAATGGACTGTCAACCAGGTAAGCTATCGGTCACTCTGATTTTTTGTTGTTTTTTACTTTTTTTGGTGGTTGTTTCTTCATTGTTTTGTGTTCTTATTCATAATACCCATGATCCAATCATTGACTTTAGTCCTGAGTTTGACTTAAATCATGATTAAATGTGCATTGAAATTCATTTGTGGAATTTAATGATCATATATCAGAGGCAATGTGAGCAGCTTGTGCGGACCAAGGAAGCTCTTGTAAGGTTGAAGTCTTCAATAGAGGAACAATTGCCTTTGGACTTCTGGACTATTGATTTGAGGGATGCTGCTTTGGCCCTCGGGCAGATAAGTGGAGAAGACATCTCTGAAGAGGTTTTGTCTAATATTTTTAGCAAATTCTGTATTGGTAAATAGATAGTATTTTTAGTTCATATAGACTCGTCTAAAGTACAAAAACTTGTCATTGCACATTTTTCATTCCCTCGCTAGTTTTTTGCTAAAATGGTGTAGAAATTGCGCACTCATCTTGCGAAACATTTTCTTCTGAAGTTTTTCATTTTTCCATCACAATGAATGTAATTTCTCAGTCAGCAAAGCATGGAGGATGACTTCGATAATAGTGACTTAATAGTGCTTGTGAGCTTTGGGGTTTTCTCAATCCTCCATTGTGTTAAACCTTAATTAAAATGTAACACTTTCACTTCTGTTCCAACATAGTACCTATGGTTGGAGATCAGTGAAAAAATGTTTTCAAAGGCGTGGTAGGTTGGCATCTCTATTCATAGCCAATTAATCATGTTTGCACCCCGATCTGTGATCCTATATATATACGTACGTACGTATTGTTTTGAAAATTTTGCGGTTTTAGTAAATCAAAAGCTGAAAGAGTAGTTTGGAGTAACAAGAGTATGACGTAATCAGTGGAGATTTCCTTGGAATGTTTCTGTCATGGAGTGGTTCGCCATAAGTAGTGGTGTAACACCGCATTTTTGCTTATCTTCTAATGCAACTCTATTCGATTATATTCGTCTTTGGCCGGCAAATTGCTGCAGCAGTTGCCAATAATGACAAACACGGGGGTGTAGAACGACGGCTTGAAAAAACAACGTCAAAACCAACAGGGTTTTTGTATCGGTACATATCTTGGAAGAAAGTGAACAGGCTTTGCGCAAAATGTGTTTTACTATCAAAGAGAACTGATTGAGGAGGAGCTGAAGGAGAAAGAGAAGGGACGTAAAGCAAAGAAGGAGAAAGAAAGGAAGGAAGAGAAAAGACGTAAAGCTAAGGAGGAGGAGAAAGATACGGAAGGAAGAGAAAAGTAACGTCACGGAGAAGGAGAAAAGCAAAAGAGAAGAACGCGGGAGAAAGGAAAAGAGAAGAACGCGAGAGAAAAGGAAGAAAGAGAAGGAAAAGAGGAAACAAGAACTGAAAAGAAATGAAAGAGGAGAAAGAAAAAACGAAGCACAAGATGATGATGAAATAGTCAAGCCATGTCATTCTTCCTCTATGATGCAAATGGGAAAAAGGAAAAAATTATGGTAAAGCAGTGACTTGAATAGTGTTTTGTGGAACTTGATTCTCCTTAACCTTTCCGTGTTTCATTTGCCTGCACTTTGATATTGGCATCTTGCTCTGCTCTTTTAAATCATAAGCGATTAGTCCAAGTATCAAAGAGAAAACAGGTGTCAATTGAAGAACCAGATTCGCCCATATTTGACAAAACATGGGTCGTTTTATTTTGGAAAAAGATGATTTCATCACCATATTGATTCAACAGTTGGGCCAAAATTGCCAAAGCAACTGTAGCACTGTACGACTTTTCTTGCAAAGCATCAAATAGGCACTCTGCAGAAAAGGCAGCAACAAAGTAATGGTGTAACGCACCCAGCCCAAACCGGAGGTTACGGTAACATCGAACATTCATGGAGTTCTATACACAATTGCAGCGCACGTGACCAGTAGTGGGCTGGATGCATTGTGGTCATGTCCGGTGCTTGCCGAATGCACGACAAAGCCCTATGACTTGAGATTATACATGGGACATGCAATGCGTTGCGGAAAGCATTTGATTTGAAAGTCTATGTAAAAACTCATGTACGTCGAGTAGTAGGGAATTTAGTTGACACAAAATTGCATCCCGGTAGCCAACATCTGCGGGAGCTTAAATCTACCGCGTATAGTGATAGCCTATTGTCCTATGACTTCACCGTAGAAAAAATAAGGTTTTAGTCACGTAAACACTTTATATGAGATACCAAAAGATTCAAGGCAATATAAAATAAATGGACACGAGATTTGGGTAAAACACTTCCATTTTTTTCATAAGCAATTTGTATATGTATCGTCTTGGCCGTAAGGCTATATTTACAACCAAAATGTAATACAATATATAAACATGAGCTAGACACAATCTATAACCTAGAAACCTAGATAAAAGTACACCTTTCGACAAACTCCAAAAGCGTCCAGCGAAGCACCATTCTCGCGACGACCTACTCACAAGCATCGTTGCGATCACCTACACCACAGGACATAAAGACATGAGCTAACATTCGGTAAGTATAACCATACGTGAGTTTATTAAATCCGTTTGCATTAAGAAATTTTTTTTTTCTTTTGGACATGTCCTGTCGAATGTTTGATTCGATTCTCTTTTAAAACCTTGACAAAAAACCTTGAAACTAGATAGCGTCTAGCCGAGGACCAACCCTCGGGTATGCACCAAATCATTCTCATGGGTGGCATCTCTATATTCATGCACATGACTTCTTTTTTTCTTAAAATATGAATCATGAAAACTAATGTTTATCCTATGTCATGAACATATACTTTCAATGCTTATGCACCCAAATATCATCAACAATGTCAAGACAACGTAACCATGCTAAAACGAACCTCCGAGCATCAAGCCAATTCTTCAAAATATAACAATCAATCCAACATAGCAAGCAATTCGGTTCATCAAGTAAAAACCAAGCAAAAGCATCACCACATTCAAGAGAGGCTCTCGACCAAAACAACAACAATTATCTAAGGCAACATGCTAAGAATTCAATCAAGTCAAGACATGTTATAATTCACCAAGCTAACATATTAAATATGTCTAATTTTACCTCAAGTAGCCTAAAATTCAGAGTTAAATCAAGCAAAACTAGGCAGCCATAACGTCACTATTTCGGTAGAATCTCAAGCCAAGCCAAGCAATTTTTGACGGAATATATTCATGGAATTCAATCCATTCATTCGACCACAAAGTTTTCCCAAATTCATCCTGCATTTATCTAGAGTTTACATGGCAATTGTAGGCTTAGTGACAAGTCTTAAGTCCTCTCACATCAAGGTTTAACCCTTTCCATTCAACACATAAATATAATGAAATTAAAATCAACCAAGTCAAGAAATATCTAAGCCTAGGTCTTGTGGTGTAGCCGAGTTAGTTACACTTACTTGGTCTAAAGATATGTGATAAAAAAACGCTTAAAAAGACTATCCTAGCACTTGGTCTAGCCCATTGCCAAAATCGACGACTCCCTCTCAAGCAAACTCTCCCTTTTCTCTTGTATAATTTTCAAATGGCAAAAAGAATCTAGTCATGATCTTACCCTCTTTTTATATAAACAAGCCATGCAATGAAGAAATGTTTGAAAATTCGGAGAATGACACCTCCTAGGTCAAGTCACCCATGCAAGGCATGATGATGACGACTAGCTTTTCACATACTTAAGGAAAAGGGAAGTCACTCTCAATTATTCAATTCATGCAATCAAGCCCCTTAAATCAAGCAATAGTCATACTTAATATGTCATCGTGTGATTTTCATGATAAAGGAATTAAATATATCCAGCTATATGGTCGACCATAAGATTCATTAACGAAAAACCGATACCACGACAAGTGGCGCTTTTGTTAAAATAAGCGTCATACACTGGATGTAGCATTTTTTGTCAACAAAAAATAACATCTCCGAGATATAGTCATTTTCGACAACAATCATCTTCAAATATGAATATTTAGTTAAGTAAGTCGAGCACACATAAACGTTAACGAAAATTGACATGTCATAACATAACTAATTTTCAACAACACAAATAGCATGTCATAATGCGTCAATTCTCGACGACCACATGCACGACAACATTTAAACATCAATATCACATAAATTAATTAAGCATCAAGTTAAAATGTGAATTGATATGAAGCGAAAAATATTGATTGTATTGTTGTACCTCTACCGATATTACAACTTACATATATATAGCTACATATAGCATTTAAATTAAAAAATTACAAACTAGGAAATTAAAGTTATAAATCTTCCTAAACTCCTTGATTAGAGCCTTAAATTTCTATATTTACATCCTAAAATACATCAAGAATATTCTAAATAGAATATTTTCTATTCCAACATTCCCCTCAAGTTGGCTTGTAAATGTCTTTCATTGCCGACTTGCTTACCAAAAGATCAAATTATTTTTTTAGTAGACCTTTGGTGAGTATATCAACCACTTGTTGAGAAGTAGAAATATAAGGAATGCAAATTAGCCCACTTTCAAGTTTCTCTTTGATAAAATGCCTATCAATTTCAATATGTTTAGTCCGATCATGAAGAACCCGATTATGAGCAATTGAAATGACGAACTTTGTTATCACAATAAATTTTCATAGGAAGTGATGCGGGAAGCTTCAAATCTTCAAGCAATTTTTTAATCCACATAGCTTCACAAATCCTTTGTGCAAGGGATCTAAATTCTACTTCAGCACTACTTCGTGCCACAATATTTTGCTTCTTGCTTCTCCAAGTAACTAAATTTCCTCCCACGAATATACAATATCTAAATGTCGATCGTCCGTTTGTCATACTACTAACCCGATCGGTATTAGTATAGACTTCCACCTAAAAGTGATCGAGCTTTTTAAATATCAAACCCTTTCCTCGAGTCCCTTTTAGGTACTTTAATATCCTATAAGCGACTTCAAAATGCTCATGGCTCAGTGCATGCATGAATTGGCTTATCATGTTTATAGCAAATGCTATATCGGGGCAAGTGTGTGACAAATATATAAGTCTACCCACCAAGCGTTGAAATTTCTCCTTTTCAATCACATCCTCGATTTTAGCGAGGATTTAGTTTGAGATTTACCTTAATTGGAGTCTCGGTAGCCTTACAACCTAGAAGATCGATTTCATTTAGTAAATTAAGGACATATTTCCTTTGATTTACAAAGATTCCTTCATGCGATCTTGCAAATTCCATGCTAAGAAAATATTTCAATGTCCCTAGGTCTTTAATCTCAAAGTCTTTAGCTAGTCTCTTTTTCAATCTTGCTAATTCATCAAGATCATCACCCATTAGTATCATTTCATCAACATATACAATGAGGATTGCTATCTTCCCTTTATCGGTGTGGTATAAGACCTAATTGAAATTAACTCGCAACAAACAATAAAACACGTATAGAGTTAATTTTTGCTACTCGGAGCAAAGGTCTCCCGATAATCAACATCATATGTTTAAGTAAATCCTTTAGCCATAAGTCTAGCCTTGTATCTCTCTACACTACCATCTGTCTTGTATTTCATAGTAAATACCCATTTACACCTAACTCGTTTTTTGACCTCTAGGCAACTCTATAATTTCCCATGTTTCATTTTTCTTTAGTCCATTTATTTCCTCCATCACGAGTTGTTCTCTAATTTGGATCATCAAGTGCTTCCTGAATGTTTCTTGAAACAAACAGAGTTAGAGATTTTTAAAGTAAATATCCTATGGTTTTGAGAAAGATGGTCATAAGATAGATATTTTGCAATTGGGTGATTAGTACAAGAACGAGTTCCTTTTCTAAGTACAATAGGAACATCAAGATCACAATATTCATAAGAAATAGCATTAGGTAAAACAGAAGGTGAAACAACATTGGGTAAAATAGGAGGTGAAATAGGAGGATTAGTATTTTGAGTACACGAATCCGAGGTAATGGATTGACTAGGTGCTTGAAGGAACGATAGATTCTTTATCCTTTTGATATTTCTCTCTCTTTGCATAAACAATGACCTCGGGTTCTCGATCCTTAGGATTATTTTACGGTATTTCTCTCCTCGTCAAAGATTCAACAAGGTCCGACAAAACAGTATTCTTATCGGTAGAAATTGTTTTGTCATTTTCGAAAACACTAGGTGTAAAGGCCACTTGTTTGAGGTAAAGTAGTAAAAATAGGTATGTTATCCCAACTATTTTCTTCCTCTAAACTCTCCCCCGAAGAAAATTCTTTTGAAAATAGGGCTGATTTTCAATAAATAAAACATCCATAGTAACTAGGACTTTTCGGGTCTTTGGATGAAAACACTCATACCCCTTTTGATTTGACACATAGCCAATAAAAACATATTTTTCAGCCCTTGGATCAAGCTTGGACCGATCCTCATTGAGTAAATGAACATAAGTCGTGCACATAAATATTTTAAGGGGTAAATTGGATGAAATTCAATTTTCGAAAAGAAATTTTTAAAGCACTCAAAAGGAGTAATGAATTTAAGTACACGAGTAGACATTCCGTTTATCAAATATGTTGTCGTTAAAACTGTTTCTCCCAGCAGATACTTAGGGATATGCATAGAAAACATAAAAAACCAAGCAACTTCCAATAAGTGTCGATTTTTTCGCTCAAATATACTATTTTGCTGAGGTGTATCAACACAAGTGGATTGATGATGAATGCCCTTATCTTTAAAAAAGTTTCTAATAATTTCATTGAAATATTCGGTATCATTATCGATATGAAAAATACCAATTTTAGTTTGAAATTGAGTTTCAATCATGTTATAAAAATTTTGAAACATTGTCTTAACTTTAGATTTATCAGCCAATAAATATACCCAACATAACCTAGTATGATCATCAACGAAGGTTACAAACCATTTTTTGCCTCAATAAGTAGGGATTTGTGAAGGATCCCATAAATCACTATGAATTAAATAAAATCATTGTGAAGGTTGATAAGGTTTTGAAGGATAAATATTTTAATGGCTTTTTGACAAAATGCAATGTTCACAAGTGAAAAAGAGAATTATCCAAGCCCTTAAATAAGGTAGGAAACAATTTTTTAAGATAAAGAAAATTAGGATGCCCTAATCTATAGTGCCGAGCAATATTTTATCTTTATCGGGGATAGAATCGATACTACTTAGTCCTTGAGGTCTTTTATCCTTGGAGACTTCATCTTCAAAATAGTAAAGACCATCGATCATTCTAGCATTGCCAATCTTTTTTCTCAAATTCTAATCCCGAAACACACAATAGGAATAAAAAAAGTGACACTACAATTAGAATCTTTTGATAATTTGTCGACGGACAAAAGATTGCATGCAAGTTTTGGTACATGCGGAATAGATTTACGGGATAAAGTATCCGATAAAATAATCGAACCTTTGCCAACAATAGGTGAGTAGGACCCATCTCGCTATACGAATTTTTTCATGACCCGAACAAGGAACATAAGTATGAAACAAATTTGAAAAACTTGTCATATGGTCGGATGCTCCGGAATCAATGATCCATAGAGCGGATTGTGATAAAGAGTAACACACTAAGGCATTTAAATCACTACATATTTGTGCCAAAGAAGCATTAGGAATACCGGATAATCCGAATTAGATTTGAGCATGAAGTTCTCTACATCCCAAACTGGATAGGTCGGACCATCCAAGTTTGACTCATTCTTGTCATCGATTGAATACCCAATCTTTCCCTTATAGCGGATGTACATGTGCACGGATTAAGACCAACATAAGGAATCTTTGGTTTTGTAAGAAGTAGATGGATGGACAAGAGTGGGTGTAGAATTTGATGTAATTTCGGACATGGTGGTGAGGAAGAAAATAAATTAGAGTGGTTGACGGCTAGGGTTTTTTGTTTAAAGAAAATAGACCAGCTCGATACCATGTGAATCGATATGAAGCGAGAAAATATTGATTGTATTATCATACCTCTATTGATATTACAACTTACATATATATAGCTACATATAGCATCTAAACTAGAAAATTAAAGCTATAAATCTTCCTAAATTCTTTGATTAGAGCCTTAAATTTTTATATTTACATCCTAAAATACACTAAAATATTCTAAATAGAATATTTTCTATTTCAACGTAGACACACAAAAACACATACTAGGTGGCAATGGTACATGCATATACTATAGCAACGGTCTCGATCGTTATAAATGACGTCTGAATTTACTATCACAAAAAATCACGAGTACGTGGACAATGATTTAATTAATGATTTTCATTCATTAAATGAAAACGGAACAATCAAATAGTAGTACATCATAAACATTATTATTACAAAAACAATCACTAATATTCAAAGGACGAATCAACCATGGAAAGCATTGGCTGATGGCTACTACTAGTACTGCTGGCCAACCTCTCATTCAGTGAAGAAATTTACTTCCCTAGTGGACTGAAGACTACCAAAATTTACAATTATGTGAAAGCTTAATCTACTCCCAACACTGGCTGACTCACTGACTCCTCCACTTTACAGCGATGATCAACTTAACTGTTAAAATTACATCGGCATAAGTAACTTGTAGATCCCAGTGGCTTGGCAAGGCCAGGGAGATGTTCAAAATGCATCTTCTTATGAGTTTCTTCTCGGAGTTGTACATAGTAAAGCATAAGAACTACCAAATTGTGGGCGCTAGATCATCTTTGCTGGTGAAGCACGGACTTGCTAATCAACTAAGCACCTTACGAAGTTCATCAACCAATTGCTCTCTGCTTGATGGCTCCACCTGCATTAAATATAATAAAGCATCACCTCTGGACTGGACCCTAAAAAATAATAATATGGTAAAGCAAAGAACATGTGATGATTTTACCTTGCTTAGAAGGGCAGCAAGACCTTGTGGTAGAGCTTTCAAATCTGACATGGACTCACCAATGTTTGTTAACTGAACCAATACCTTCTGGACCCGCAACTCTTGTAGTTTTGCTTCATAATTTCCTGAATCATTCTTCCATGCAAAAAATGCTTCATCATCCACCCAAGCATCTTCTCTCCCTCTTGCAATATCTGAATTCAAGAACCACATTTTGATCATGTCCATTGCAGATTTATGTAACAGCTGCTCACCTGCTGCATCTATCACATCCTTGATCAGCGAACACTCAGCAATTCTCCTACGCAACCTTCTGCAGAAAAAAAGGCGTGATCTAGCCCAGTCCACAACTTCTCTTATTACACCCTTTGCTGCCATTCTTAGAGAAGAATCATGAAGCTCAGCAAATTTGGTGGCTATCTGAGTGTAGACTGGCAAAAGCTGCTTTTCACGAGTTTTAATTTCCTGTTGGAGAGAATCAACCATTCCATATGGCGCACTGCTCCTGGCTTCCTGAAGTTTTGCCTTCAAATTGATCAACTGTTGATCAAGCCTACCCATGCAGTCGAGCAGATCCTTTGTCCTGAATTTGATCTCAATCATTCCTTCTGGCTCAAGGACATTACCTTTAGCTGTTCGATCTGCATACATTTCAATGTAATCTGAATTGATCTTACTATCCAGGACAGCCCATGCCCCACCACGAAGCTCACCCATCATGGGAATGTACACAAAAACAGGTTGTTTGTACGTTCTAAGGTTCTCAACTATGGTTGCACCTGCCTGGAGGATACCTTCAAAAAGGTCTCTCTGCCCGCCAGAAAAGCCTCTCCAGTTGGCTAAAATGAAAAGCGGTAGCTCTTCTCTATTGAAATCAAATATTGCTTGAGCTGTTTTGCTAGCAGAATCGGGAAACCATACTTGCCCAGCCTGAGGAACAACCCTCTCATGGGAATCAAGCTGTCCTGGGTCAGCAGGGATCACTTGCATAACTGTCTGAGTCTCAACAGCTACTATCCCAACAGGGATTCCTCCAAGATTTGCCCGTCCTGTCACAACTGTCCTTGCCCAGCCTTCCAATGTCTCAACAAAGCTATCCTTGTCAAAAATACCACCCAGCCACTTCCCACTGTCATCAAAAATACCACAAATAGCTGCCCGAGGGTCACATGAGTTTTCTGGGAAGTACTCCACAGGTCTTTCTGGAAAATCTGATAGACTTAAAATGGGAAGAGCCCCACCCACACAAGGAGGAATACAGCTTAGCCACTTCAAAATGGCTGATACCCCTTCAAGATCATCTGAGACAGTAAGATGCACTACCCCATTGGTTGCCATAATTTTAGGTCCACCAAGTTGCATGTGCGAACTGTACACCTCACGACCAAGAAGTTTGTTTAAAGCAGAAAAACCAGTCAAAATAATGGGCTGATCAAGCCTCTGTATACATCGCATTCCAAGCCGAGTGAGATAAGCACCAATTCCTACAGTTCTGCCAGTCACATAAGTTAAGGTAAAGGTTTCCTTGTATGCCCTAGAATATGCACTAGCAATGGCCCCGCTTCCAGATAAATTCTCTACCCCCAGGCCATCCTCCTTCCCAACAATGGCATCTATCACCCATCTTGTTTCTCCATTCTCCAGCTTCAACTCGTGCGCTATCACTGATGATCCAGTCTGAGCATGATCCTCAGGACTTAAATATACATATTGAAAGCCACGATCAGGGAAATTTTCATCTGACCAACCAACTTTAAAGCAGGATTTGACTTCCTCAGCAACCCCAATACGGGCACCTGAGTTTGCTGCCAAATAAATTAGTGGAATTTTCTTATCGCAGGCAAGATCGGTCACTGCAAGAAAGAATGCATCCTCTCTTTGGCCAAAAGACCCTGCTTTGAAGGTCACGTCATTTGCTACTACCAAAATTGTCCTTCCCAAAGGGAACTCAGGAGTTAGTATGTCCATGCACCAGGCTACCATGCCAAAATCATTGAGCCCAGCTGGACGCTCTGTGGAAACAAGAGGTGATCCCCAGCTATCATTTTCATCAGCAAATACAAGCTCTGTCACCTTTAGAACTTTATCCTTGGGTTTTTCCATACCCGGGAATTGGGATGCCCAGATTTGTTCCAAGACTGTCTCAAAAGCCTGAGTAGAGAAAATATTCGTCAGCAACGTAATTTGACCTGTTATTTATTTTGTGCTCGAGGGAAATAACTTTTGCTGTTTTCAAGTACACAATGCAGGACTCACCAACGGAAAATCATAGCAGTAAGTGGTGCTGCTTCTCCTTGCCAATAAACGTTTTCGATCAAGAGCTCCCAAAGGCTGATAGTGTGCATTTACTGGAACAAGATGCAGAGGACCCTGTACAGAGATTGAATGGTACACCACTCTGTGCTTGCTGGTATCCTCTAGTTCCCGGTATATCTGAATGGTATATCACCAGCTAGTTATTTTTTCGGATGAAAAAAAATTATATAAACAACTGAAAAGAATTACAGAATCAAGTTGGAGAATTAGCCGTCCTCAAATCAACCAGCATGTTAACATGTGATCCTTTTCCATGAAAACTAGATGTGTTAAACTAGTTTAGGAACCAAATCCCAATGCATTATTTTAATATTTCCTTGAAAATTACTGCAGTGGCTATTTCACACCTTACCGATGCTGGTGCTAAACCCAAAATTTGCTAACTTGCAATGGCAGTGAAAAAGATTCCCACACTAAACACTAACATTCAAAACTGAACAAACCAAATGTAGCAAGTATTTCATCTGAAAACTATGGGTCATTGAAGTTATATCCCAGGATAACCAAATGATCAACAAACTTATGGTTCATTTACGCTAGAGGTGAGCAAAACAACTGGAATCACTGGATTATCAGGCTGAATGGAACCAAAAAGCCAAACCAGTCGGTTTCTCAAGTATCTCAGGTAGGTTCGGTTTGAAATTTTCATATAATATGTTGGTTCAATTCAGTTTTTCCTGAAGTTCTATGAAATTTAAATTTAAGCCGGCGATTTGGGTCAGCAACCTAACCCTGGTGTGGGCCAATTCAGTATTTCAGAAAAAAAGGCCTATCCATAGTTACCCTTTAAAATGGCTATTTACAGTTTGAGCTGAAAAAATAACTGAACCAAACCAACCTGAAACCAGGCGGGTTTTTGCTGGGTTGGTCGGGTTCCTTTTGAAAATTCCAGTTTTTGCAAATTCGGTGTGGTTGTTTTTCTTTTTTTGGTTCAAAACTGATCCGAATGAATGAATGTTCACCCCTAAATCTGGACTTAACCGAGGGCTTTTTCCTTTGAAATGTATGTCCTCAAAAGAAGGGCCTTCAGAACATTTTCCAGCTGGTATATATACTTACATGCACAGCACAGGTGTGGCCAGTCACATTTGTGACCACAACCCTCCAAGCACCATTTGCTTGTCCAGGTGAATCCATCCAGAGCTTAATTTCCCACTCACAGACACCCAATCTATGCATTCTAACACCAATAGATGCATGGATTTCCCGAGCCAATCCTTCCAAGATTGCCTCTACTGCGACTTCTTCTTGCCCAGCATCTATGTCAACTTTCCTGGTGACAAGCAATATCTCAAACATGAGAACTCATGCAAAAAGTTTAACAACTTATTGCAAGAGAACATAAGACTTAACAAGAGTATAGGCAATAATTACTTTGGATACGGCACAAGATCATCTATTTGTTGCTCACGTAAGATGCAAAGATACATATGAGCATGGTCAGATTTGACAGTAGCATTATGCACATTAAGCTCCAATTCCTCCATTGCAGCCACCAAGGACCTCAAAATGCTCCTTGAAGTAAAAGAAATAGCCCATTGGGTGCGAGTTGTTTCCATTCCCAGCCCTTGATATGCAGCAAACCCTTCATTCATTGTCGGCTGCCTTACAAGCGTTCTTAGAAACATTCTCCGGATTGGCACTGGCTTGTCGACAACAGTGTACAAATGCCATTGTCGGTCCCGGGACGGAGTATATTGTATATTTTCATAGCCTTTAAGCTTGTCCTGGATATAAAAAGATTGCGATAAAATTCAGATCAAAGGATGTGAATTGATCTCTTCTTTCTTTAATTAAAACAAAGGGTATACAGACAAACCAATTCAAGGTAGATAGATAGTGGAGGTTCTAGGTGACGCAACAGAGGCTCTTCTGCATAATATAGCTTTTCTGCTGACCAGTGAAAGGAGTGCCTCATAGGAGCTCGCCCTTCGTCTCTCTGTATAATGCAACTTATAACACTAACACCTGCACTGTGTAAACTGGATCCCAGCTCTTGCTCCTTGAGTATTTTGGCTAATTTGTTAATTCTCTCCTGAGCCTGGTCCTCATCACCGCTGCAAAGTGTCAGAAGGCAATGCCAGTAAGGGACTAGGTTAAACAAAGGGTCTACTCCCCAGGATAATAACTAGAAGAAAATTGTTCCTCGAATGTGAGTCTGTGTGTTCCTTTAGTTTTCCTTTCAAGTATTGTAGAAACTTAGTAAATGCTTTGTTCCAAGAATAGGACTTGCGACACAAATTTAAATCAAACTTGCCCGAAGTTACAAGCTTTTGAATGATTTTCAAAGTGGAACTAGCCTTTCGATCCTAAATGGAATGCATACTGCTAAAGGATGTATAATAAACTGCTACCAATGCAATATGCATCATACTATAAAAACTAGGGCAGGGAAAACGCAAATCAACCAGTATACCTATCCTGAAGTAGACTCATTGGATTGTTGATGCCCACCAATGCAATGTGCATCATATTACCAAAGCTAGTTGATTCTACAGATGCATTTGAAATTGCTTCATGAGGGTCATGCGTTGTCTCCCGTAATGCAGCATTAATGATAGCTGGCAAAAATTGAAGAGATTTAATAATAACCATAGCTCCCCATTTTTGCTCACAAAGCTTTTCAACCAGTGGTTTATTTAACTTTTGATCTTCAGAGCCATTCTTTCTCTCAATGTGTTCTTCCAAGAACTCCCATGAAGCAATGAGACCAGATCTGTGCCACTGCATCCTGACACTCCCCTTCACGAGATAGGGCTGAAGGCAGGTAAAAGTATGTTAATTTCATAAATGGTCGTCCAGAATTATAACAAGCAGAAAGTTGTAAAAGTTTGTAATATGGTACCTGGTATAGCCTACGGACATAAGTTTCCACCACTCGCCTTTGAAGAGTGTGGTCGCTATGATCAAACAAACCCACGAGGGCATCCTCAACAGCTAAAGGAGCACCAACAAGATCCTCCATTCGTTCATTAATGGCACTTTTCCTCTTGGGAGTATCCATATTTTCACCATCCTCCGTAAACATCTCCAATTCAGAAAGGCTTCTAGCAATGGTAGAACGAAGTTCACTCAGTTTGGTTTGTTCTAGTAGTTGACTTGCCTTTAGTGCAAGCTGCATATACAAAATGCATTAAATATTGATAGTGATCTTAATATGAGAAACAAAAATAACCAAGGACTACTAGAAAATGACATATGGAGAAAATAACACTTAAAAAAACTAAAAATCCTCTTCTTGTGGGAAAGTTAGGACTGATTTTCAAAAATAAAATGAAAACAAATAAAAAAAACAGAATTAAAAAAAAATATATATATATATATATATATATCGATCCATGCACTATTGAACAGGTCCAGCAGTCAACCTCAGAATAATTTGTATGGTTAAGTTGAGAGAAACGGATTAGTTTGTCCCTATATGCGGCAGGGCTAGGATAAACAAGTTGTTCCATGAGATGTAGTATCAGCTTATTTTTACTTCTGACACCCTGCATGGCCATTTATGAAGTATCAATTGAAGTTATTTCCATAGAAAACTAAAAGAGAAGAGGCATAAACCAGCTGAGCGCGTCATAAATGTGATACCTGATGAGAAAGCACAATGTCCACAACCTTAAGTAAATCTTTCTTATATTGAAGTCGAAGACGTTCAATCACATCAGCCTGAAGAAAGAAACAAATAGAAAAAAATAAAAATAAATAAGGACTTAAAAGATAAAAATAAATTAAAGAAAATTTTATTGTGGAGTGACCCACAGAGCTCCTGATTATTTTTGCTTGCAAGCAAAAAAATCATTAAAATGTAAGCTAAAGCACATGAGAGGGGGCCAAGCTTCAAGTTCACTGAAAGTTCGATGACAGAAATCCAAAAACTGTTGAGCCTTATGAATTTAAACCAGGTTTATGAAGACTACAAAAGACTAGCAGGCAAGAACAATAATATATGTTCATACGGTTATTGACAAGAACATAGACATTGGGACTTAAAAAAGGATAATGGAAAGAAAAACAAAGAGAATGGATGGAGTTACTCTGTTAAATTAGCTTTCTCCACAAAAGGGAGCCACCAATTGAGATGCTTTTAAACAATGAAAGAAGAACAGAACAATACAGAGGAAACAAATTAAAATAAGACTGACTCGAAAGATTAAAGAAAAGAGGAAAGTCATAAAGCTTGGAACCGAACAAATAAAGGATCATTTTTGTATTCTAAATGAAGCCATGATGCTTATTCAGAAATCAGGATGCTATGTAACATTGGTTTGAGCAATCTCAAGTAATCAGGACAAGACCCTCAACTTATAAAACCAATTTCATAGAAAGACTTGTGTTTCATTTGACCACACCAACCTGGATGTTATCACTGAATAACTCTTCAACAGATAAATACTCTTCAAAAAGTGACTGAACAATAACACGGGCATGAGACTCTCTTCCACCTTCATAAGACTTCACAAGACTCATCAAAGGTTCAACGAGCCTTTCCTGGGCTCCTTTTTCTTTTTCTGGACAAGAGGATAAATGGGCCTGCAGAAATGCGTGTGCATTCCAAGTGTATTGAGCACATAAAAGGAGAGGAACAAAAGGATTTCAAAACAAGGAACCTGAGAGAAGGAACTCACCTCAAGCACGCCCTTCAATAATTTGGCAGGGAAGTCAATGTTCAAGGAGCTTGAAATCCCCTCAAACTCTCTGCATGTTGCTTCCAACTGAAAAAATTAAACCAACACAAAATCAGATGCACTACCTGTGACAATGATTGGGGATCCAAGCCACATGATAAATATTCACCTCAGTTCTAAGATCTTTGGGAAGGCGGGCTGCTAGAACAGCCAAGCACTCTTGCCATTGGAGAAAAGGGAGTTCAGGACTATCAAGACAAACAAGCAAGTTTTGCACTACCTGTCATTGTTGTTGAAACATGAACTCTTAAGAAATAGGAATTAATGTAACATAACTGCAAGCATATGGCATTTACAAGTTTACAAAGCAATAACTTAAATGCAACACAAATAAAGATGAGAGAGACTGATGATTCACAATAATGTTTGAACTGCAAATTGATATTGCAAAATAGTAAGAGAATGCCTACTTCGTCAATATTATGATCATAACCAGCAAGAATCATTCGAGCTGCATTTAGGCTCGCAGCACATCTCTGATGAACTTTTCCAGAAATAGCAGTTGGAGGGCCCAGCACTGGGAAGCTCCAATGAAAAAGCTCAGCCTTTCGTACAGCTGAAGGATCATCAAGATCAAGCTTTGCTATGAGCTCACCAGCCTACAAGAAAACTATTTTCTTAACTTCATACAAAAACTGCACAATCATATTTCCACAAGAGAATATTATTTACCTGCATTGCTTGACCTTCGGACATTTTGAACTGAATAACTCCAGAAGCAGGTGAAAGAAGAGGCATGCACATCTTCATAACTTCAACCTCAGCATATGGCATGTCTGCATCAACATGACTTCCATCCGAAACCAAATACCTCAGCAACTTGCATGGTGTCTCTGCCACTAACTTAGATGGATCATGATCGTTCTGTAACAAGCAAGTTCTTCCGTCAATCAGGAGGCGAGTCCCAGCTGCTTCTTCCTCTGCATATATCACATGACTGTTCCCATCCAGCTGTGACAAAATACATGCAATCGGTGCCATTGAAGAGTCAAAAACGTATTAAGGAAAAAAAGTCCATACAGAGTACTAATAACACAAGCAACTGTGCAACATCCACAGGACCATAATTATAAACATGTTACGGGAGAAAATGACTTCTTGCCTGCATCAATAGACCTCCATCACGTAAAGTATGTATCTCTACTTCAATCTCTGATTTGTTCATCCTCAATCTATAGCTACCTGGTCCCTCTCTAACCATGTCAATCTAGTTTTCAAAATGTGAATGATGCATGTTATAAGAGCCCATGAGGCAAAAATCTTCAAAAAATCTTAACAGAAAAAAAATGTTCTTTTATTTTAATAGTATAAAATGTATAACAATATAACAAGAAAATGTACCGTGTATTTGCTTCCTTCAATGTTCAATGAAACTTGAGAGTGAACAAGAGATATGTGCTGTAAACAGGATCAGCAGATGTTAATATTAATAGAACTAAGTGAATAAACAACAGTTACCAATATAGCTATTCTTCATCAGTGTACCTTGGGAGGGATTTGCCCCTTTTCCAGATAACCAACATAATCAGAAACCAGAGCTGCGCTGCTTGCAGATGCTTTCTGAAGCAAAAAAAATATCAAAACATAAATACAAGATAAAAACATAGCAAAAGCATGAGGTTAAGATTCCTGTTCTCATATCAATAGGCTAGTGCTTACGTATAGAGCCCCTCCAACAACAGAGAGATACCATGGCGGCCTCTCTGCTCTAACACGCATTGCAATTCTACTGTCCAACCAACCTGTGTGGATCTTATTGTCTCTGTAATCTGAAGCCTGTAGAGCATTTCAATCCATGTCAGTTTGTTTTTTCTGGAGCATCTTTTTTATCAAATTCTGTGAAGAAAGGGAAGGTCAGCAGAAAGGGATTAAGAACAGATGAAAAGTTTACATGTAAAAGATCAATTGTGTAATCAACATTTGTACGGATTTCTCCACGAATTTGAATTTCTTTTAGTCCAAGGACCATATTTGCTATAGCCAAAGCTCTAGATTCCCCAAATGCAAAAACATGTCCTGAGGAAAAGTTCGGCAAACACTCAATGAACTGCAGGAAACAGAATGTTGACTGAATTGATGGAAAATAGTCACTGTTGAAGATTATAAGTTTCTAACTTCAATCACTATCATAACAAGTTATACAAAACAAGGTAAAGGTTATCAATATGTATAACATCCCCAATAATTTTACAATCATTCATTCCAACTCAAAAATGTAGTCCAGAAAATTTCCATTAGCAATTCTGTGCAGTAGAAAAGGAATTAAAACTGCTTTCTTTCAGTTTTCAACAAGCAAGCTCACAGAGACCTAAAACCATCTTGCTAAGTTGGAGGATAAGGCATCAGACCTCTTGCAAGAGCAAGTTAATTTCATTTGATCATCTTGCAAAGAAACAACTAAACTCGTAAAAGATAATTGATTGCAGTTACTCATCAACTTGCATCTACTTTATTTAATTTTTTCAGTTGATAGCTGATGCTTACCAAATTGAGAATCTGAGAATTCATGAATGCCTCCTCCAGACTGCAGATGATAATTCAAATCACTAAAGTTAGAAAAACCAATGTTCTGTCAACAGAATTATTTTAAGAAAATCAAAAGACAGAGAATAAAAGTACCTTAACAGAGAAGTAAGCCCACACATTTGGCTTGCTTTTAAAACTTAGTTCCTGTTACAAGGCCATGTAACTCAATATGGGTGTATGACAAATTAATGAGCTTCAGGTATGAGTGGTCAAGACCCCTAGAGGCTTACCTGTACTTTTCCACTTGTAGGCTTAAACCCATCATCTGGATCCTCACTCGTCACACGCACAGCTACACAATGACCTTTTGGCTTTATGGACTCTGCCTTGTCAAAATCGAAAGGGGTGGCAACCAATGAAGTTTTCCTCCATGCATCATAACTTCCACCACGTTCCATTCCGTAAAATCGTCTTATCTCTAATTAAATAATAAGTATAAATAACAATACCAAAAAACATATATTCAATGGCTAAGGGAAAATGCCTTGTTGACATTGTGGATCCATTAGCATCATACCTGGAATTTGCCAGAGGGGAATACCCATCCCCACTGCAACCTGGGCTGCTGGCAGATTTATTTCAGCAATCCACTCAGTGACAGGATGCTCGACCTACATTGAAATTAGTCTAAAGGTCTTTGGAAAAATCCAACATTTGAAGTGCGAAATGAGTAGGAAAAACCTTTGCTAGTAAGATAAGATGACTATCACAATGACCTTTGCTCATAAGATGACATTTATCAGAACTGAACAGAAATGAGGTAAGAAGCTGCTACCCAATATGCTTATTCATGCCTTAAAACATTATCACAATACCAAGGCAAGTTTATTACCATCATGCAAGCAAGTCCTTTCAAGATGATCATGGTAATCCAAAATGACTTAACAGAGAAATGAAAAACCTTTCAAAGTGTCCTGCCTAGCCACTAGCTTAATATGCTTCCATATGCTCTTCAAGTGTATTCTTCGATTAAAACATTTTAACACACCAGAAAACTCCAAAAAAAAGGGCAAAATGACCACATGAAATGACAGTTAATGAGGATGGCACGAGCATAAACTTATGTCTTAAAAAGTCAGCATACCTGTAACCGAGGGTTGAGTTCCAAGAAGTAATACTCGCCAGTGTCCATGCTATACAAATACTCAACAGTGGCTGCTCCCACATAATTCACACATTTTGCTAACCTTTGCGCTGCCCGTTCTAGTTTTTTTACCGTCTCCAATGGTGCAACAGTGATAGGACCCTCCTCAATTATCTATTTAACAAACAGTAGGATGCCAGACTGTCAGATCTTATAAGAACATACTCCTTGGAACTGTCAGATCTTATAACAACATAATCCTTGGAGACTATGCTAAGTCTGGTACATTGTATTTCATCATGATGACTTCAATATTTAGAAACCAAATAGACAGCTATTCAAACCAAATTTAAGCTTAGCTCTAAGAAAGGAACTTACTTTCTGGTGCCGCCTCTGAACACTACAATCACGGCTATGCAAAGCTGCTACATTTCCATACTGATCACAAAGCAACTGGACTTCTAAATGTCGACTCTAAGAAACAAATTCAAAGTTGATCGTCAGAATAAGAACCCTGTAATAACAGTGTGAAAGAATTTTGTTCAAATTAGAAGGCGGTAAATAATCTAACCTGAGAAGCAACCTTCATTATAAATATCGGGGAACCTGGGACTTCACCCTGAACTTGCTTGAACAATGCCCTGACTTCATCATCATTATGAACCTAGAAAATATACAAGCTAGTTCAGTAAGCAAAACAAAAAACCCATAGTAGTGTCCATTCCAAGAGACCTCTAGGTAACATCATCTGCCTTGCATTTTAACAAATGAGTATGACCGGTACACAGGGAAAGAAAGATCATTGTAAATCAGAAATCACGATACAGCCACGCATGAAGCATACCTTTCTTATGCCTTTACCACCACCACCCCATGATGCCTTTATCATTGCAGGGTAACCGACAACTTGACAGCTAGCAATTGCTTCCTCTGTTGTATATACACATGCTTCCCTATATATCTCATCTGGGATAGTAACCAAGCAACTTTCTGGAGAAATTTTCACCTGCAAGACAGAATAGAAGTCTCTTAGATGTGGAATGACCCTGAAAACACCATCACAGCATGTCTTGTGAGAGATAATTACATGAGAACCACTCCATGGTAGGGTAGGAACATCTGCTGATTGAGCAATCAAAGATGAGCCAATCTTATCTCCCAGTGCTGCCATTGATGTAGCTGGTGGACCAAGAAATACAAGCCCCCTTGCATCCAGTGCATCTGGAAGCTCAGGGTTCTCAGAAGCATGACCCCAACCAGGCCAAACCGCATCAACATGTGTTATCTCTGCCATCTGGCAAGCACAAATTACAATTTGTAAAACAAATCACAAGGGAAACGAGAACTCATATTTCTTTATTAACCAACTAATATTGTTGAGCAAACCAGAAGTGGATGGAATAAACCATAGCTAAGTAAGAATAAGAGCACATGCCATAGTAGCTAATTAATCTTCTTGATGTTCTGAAATACTTGAAGAATAGGGACTTCGAGAGATTCTGTTTCACACACCTCATCACTCACCTCTACTGTACAATTCATTGACTAATCAACTTCACCTTTATTATCCAATTAAAATCAGACTTCAACAATTTCAGTCAAAGCAATAGAAAATTAATAACACTTAACAAAACTTTTTCTGCTAAAAAGTGCCAATTCAGTTGTTTTTTTGTTCTTTGCGGTACTTTTAACTAAAATAACAATATAGCTTGAATGCACAAAAAAAGATGTAGTTCAGAGTACACACCTCTAAAATGAGCTGCACGTTGGCATAGTTATTATTGTTTGTCCCACCGGGAACTTCCACAAACTGATCAGCTATTCTAATATGTTCTGCATTGATTCTCATGTCTTCTGGAGTAGCCATAGCCACCAATAGGATAGCTTTATCGGTACCAAATGTTTCATAAGCCCATGTCCTAACGCTACGTATAAACTTGACAGCTGCCATTCCATTGTTTGCAATTAAAATACTATGGATTGGCTTCTTCCCTCCAAGGGCATGGCAGAATTGATCTACTAGGGAGATTGTAGCAGGGCTCCTTATTGAAGCTACCCCATTCACGTACCCATTTCCACGCCCAACACCCAAGGTTATAGGCGGTCTCCTTTGTGCTTCTGACATGCTGCATAGAAAAATAATGTTACCTATAGCTCAAGGAATTGATTTTGATAGTCTGATCCCAAAAAGTTGCTCTCACTCACTTCGTTATGTTCTTGATCAAGCTTTAAATTTTTATTGGGCTAAACCTTTCTTAATAGTATCATCTCTTCAAACATTTATTTACTCTAGGTTCTCTTATAATTGAATCGACGACAGTTGACAAATCAGAAGAAACAAAGAAAGTGAATTTGAAAGTAAACATGTACACGTGAACTAAACAGCCAATCATAGTAAGCCTATATGTTCCCGTTCTGGGACACCATGAACTCTTGCTCATGTCTAAACAACCAAAACCGAACTCCTGTTCTCATCCACCATGTTCCAATTCTAATTATATGCAACGAAACACAGCCTAACACTAGAGTGTATCACATTCACAGATGCAAGATCGTAGAAGCAGTGATGGCAAACAAAATATGCTTCAAGAATCACTCGTTAGACACCAAAAAGAAGAAGAAGAAGAAGAAGAAGAAGAATAAAAAGAAGATAATTAGAGTCCCCAAATTCACACATCAAACAAAACCACCCATTAAGTTTACATTTCAAGTAAACCAAAATAGCAAGCTAAGAAACAGTAACCCAAGTAAAGAAAGCCGAAATAAACCTGGAATCTGAGAAGCTAGGATCAAATTCAGCTCGATTCAAACATGGAATGTGAAACTAGAAGGAGAGAGAGACGGAGCGGAAAGGCAGACAGATGGCAGAAATGTGATTTAGTGCTACAATTCGCGGGATATGTAATGCCATCTTTATATTAAGTTACGTGACATTACACAAATCTTCAAATTATATATAAAAAATAAAAATACAACGATAGTGTGTCTGCTTAAATTTTTTTTAAAACGTATATATATGTATGTATGTGTGTATATTAATTAATTTATAGGGGAAATTTGCAAGAGGGTAGGTTTGAGTTAGAGAGGAGGGCCTTCACAAGTTGTAACGGCTTTTAATGCTACCCAGCACGTGGTACCTGCCCCTCCGCTCGTCATACCATACCCCTCCTATTTTTTTCTAGGTCCATCTACCACCTCTGTTTGCTTCTCCGGGTTTTTTTTTTTTTTTTGTTTGTGGAGAGTAAATCTAAAAGGATTTAATAACACCTATTAAATAGAAATAGAAGAGAAGTTTATAGAGCAGGGGGGAAAAATGTTCTTCTTTGTTACTTCTCACTTTCTTTCAATTTCTAGTATCACCATTTTATTTTTTTTATTTTGGTAACCTTAAAAAGGTAAAAGAAAGAGTAAATTATAAACTAATTCATCTCTTTTTGAGAAACAAATTAATTATTTTTCATTTTTAAAAAAAATTATTTAATCTTTTAAATTTTAATTTTACCAATAATTTTTTTGTCGGTTTTCCATTAAATTTGTGATTTTTTTTCTTAAATCATCCTTTCTTTAATGCTTTACTTCTCATTTTTATTCATTTTTTTCTATTTTCTCAGCTAAAAATAAAATAAAATGATAAATTTAGAATAAAAATCATTAATCTAATGAAAAATTGATGAAAAAAGATTAAGTTATTAACGAAATTAAATTAATTTTTGAAAAAAGGACTGGTTGATTTATTTTTCTAAACAGAGGGACTAATTTATAATTTACTCTGTAAGAAAAAGACGAAAAGTATTGCGTTGATACTGTTACGTCATGAAATGAGATTTCATTTTTCTTACAGATGGATTGCCATATTGACTACGTGTGTTGGGGGTGGTGGTGTAGCCTGCCAACCCTTCTTTCAACCGTTGTCTTGTTCTTCAGGCCAACAGGCCAAAATTTAACCTTCCTTGCAAGGTAGTCTCATTTTTGTTTCATATTGTGTGTGAGAAAGGGATAGAGGAAAGGAGGAGAGAATGGTAAAATGAAGAGAGAGATAGAGTCATTGATTGAGACAGATGAGGTGCGTAGGTGAAGGGTTTGATTAGTATCATAGTTGAATATTGATTTCGCATGGGGGTTCGGTTGTGGTTGGAGGTTAGGTCGATCATGCCATCCTCACCTCTCTTTCTCTCTCTCTTTTGAGAAAGAAAAAAAAAAGGGAATTTGTGGCGGTCAAACAAGAACAACACTCCCACTTCTCTATTAATGTTATGTTTTATGTTACAAGTTAGCGTGAGTGTACATCTGTTTTGTTTTTAATTGCATTCATGGACCTTATGGTTTATGGTTATGTGCTTAATTTGAGTCGCTGTCCTTAGAATATCGGGGTTAGAATGAAGCTGACAAATGGACAGTTTTCGGCTGTAGTGGATTTTTCTTCCTTTTAAGTTACTAGCAGCATTTTGGCCTTTTGGCCCATGCATTGCAAGTGCAAAATATGAAAACTAACTACGAATATGGAACAAGATTCCGTGTTTCAATTTAATTTGTTCTTTTATTTCTCAAGAGTTGTGTAATGGATTTTTTTTTATTCAGAGATAGAATCGGTAGATGATATAAATATAACAATTCAAAATAGATTTAATTAGACAATATTTTTTTGTATTGTGTAGAATTAATAAAAAATTTCAACTTAGCGGAACGTGATAGACCACATCGACTCGCTATGTATGGCGGACCATTTTGATTTGGCAAAATGTGATAAAACACTTCAACTCTATTTGGCATGACATACCACTTTAATTTTACAAAACGTGACGGATCACTCTAATTTTACAAGATGTAACAAACCACTCGATTTTACAAGACGTGACGGACCACTCTCATCTTATAGCATGTGACACACCACTTTAACTTAGAGGGACATGATAGACCATGTCGACTTTACTATATTTGGCGAAGCACTCGATTTGACAAGAAGTGGCGGACCACTTTGACTCGCGAGATGCGATAAAGCATGTCGGTTTGAGAGGACGTGACAGTCCACATTGATTTCGAAGGACATGACGGACCACATTTTCTAACAATAAAAAATTTAAATATAATTTAAGGTATATCTTAATAAGACTAAAAAAAGATATGGTGGGGGATTAAAAAAAAAACTATTAGTAATTATAAGATTTATAAAAAGAAAATAAAGAAAAAAAGAGATACAAAACAAGCATACCAATATATATATATATATATACACATGCGCGCGCGTATTGTTATGGTTTATTATTAAAAAAACAATCATTTTTATTCATTAAAAAATATATTTAATTCAACAAATCAATGAATCATCATATATAAATTATTTAAAAAAAAACAAAATCGTTGATGATTTTTTTTCTCATACCTAGCTTTCGCCTTGCTACTAATGCTTCGATTATAGTTGCTAGAGTGAGCTTCACTCTTTTAGCGATCTAATGATTTTGATCAAGTATTCTCTTAAGTGTTATTTGTATTGCTACACACTCGGATGTTATTGTTATTTTTATACTTGCACGCATCAACATGTACACAATATTTTGCCAAATGTTGAAATAGTAGTGTGCAATTATTTGTTAATTAATAGTTATCTTCACCGTGAGTTTTCTCCGAACATGAGTCTATGGAACGTTATATAGCAATCATTTATTTGTTTTTTAAAAAATAAAATTGCTAATGATTTTTTCTTTTGATTTTTTCTTCTCATACCTAGCTTTCGCCTTACTCGCTAATACTACGATTATAGTAGGCTGGTGTGAGTTTTAATCTTTTAACAATCTAACAATTTTGATTAAGGACCCTTTTAAGTGTTGTTTGTACTCCTAGTCATTCGGATATTATAATTATTTTTAAATACGTACATGCCAACATGATAATTCTATCCGCATTATGTAGAGGATAATTTTAAACATTTATAATATTAATCTTTTATCTTTATAGTAATCAAAAAAATCTCCTAAGCAACACTAAAAAACATAACTTATACTCGTTATACATAATAAAAATTTTAATTATAAATTTAAGGTAGATCTTAGTAAGACTAAAAAGAGATATGGTGAGAGATTAAAAAAACTATTGGTAATTATAAAATTTATGACGAGATAAACAAAAAACATTCATAAAGAAATATATGTGTGTGTGTGTGGATACACAAACACACACACTTACATACTAGTTGATCATCCACATATTGTTATGGTTTATTGTTAAAAAATAATAATTTTTATTCATTAAAACAAATATATTTAATTCAAAAAAATCAATGAATTATCATATAGCAATCATTTAAAAAAAATTTGTTAATTTTTTTTCTTCCGATGCCTAACTTTTGCCCAACTCGCTAATACTACAATTATAGTAGCCGAGTGAGTTTTAATCTTTTAGCGATCTAGTGATTTGATCAAGGGCCCTTTTAATTGCTATTTCTACTCCTACCCACTCGAATATTATTGTTGTTTTTAAACTCGTATGCACCAAGCATGATAATTCTATATGCATTATGTATACGATAATATAAAACATCCATAATATTAATCTTTTACCTTTATGGTAATTAAACAAATCTCCTATTAAACACTAAAAAACATAACTTATACATAATAAAAATTTTAAATATAAATTTAAGGTATTTCTTAATAAGACTAAAAAGTGATATGGTGAGGGATTAAAAAAAAACTATTGACAATTATAAAGTTTTTAAAGAGGTAAAAAAGAAATACCTAAGGGCTAAGAATATATGCACACACACACACACAAATTAATTATCAACATATTTGTCGTCACACGACATCGGAAGGGACTCCCAAAAAAATAAAAAATAAATTCTAATTATTTACAAAAATTATTTACAGAGTTTGGAGTCGCCACCTAGTATTGAAGGGACTAGGAACCTAAAATAGACACCGGTTCGGAGATTCTATGGTAAGGAGTGGTTACACTTTTGAGAAGATGCTCAATCACCCAAAAGTGTCTTTTTCGAAAAAAGGTACCATGTGTGGTTCAATTTTAAACTCATCTCCTAAAATATCAAATTATTTCTTGAGTTTTCGAAAGTCCTATTTTTTTAAAAAGCCAAATTGAATTTTTAATTTTTGAGCGTGACATCGTATTGAA